GAAGTTTATCATGACCAGCATTTTGTGTCTCGGAACTTCTAATCATGACTGTAACACATTTGTATTTTGACTGCATACAACACAAGAGTAATTAAATAATGTATAACTAATTAAGAACCTAGGAGAACCATCCGTATGTAAAACCCACCATAAACACATAATTTTATATTATATTAAAGATAGAGAATTGCTGATATGCAGACATAAACATATGTGGCATATGTATCTCAAAGCAGTCTCAAGAATTCCACATAGAATTGGCCTCAAGGAAACTATATTTTCTGTTGAGGAAAAAGTGTTGATAGTTTTTGCTGGAAGCAGGCCATTAATTACAAAAGTTGAGGCTAATCCTGCAATCTTATCTTAACGGAAGTTCTGTTTTTATCAGGACTTGAGGATCCATATTAAACAAATACTATCCCACTGCCAAAATAAAATGCAAAGTACTTTGTACAATGTGGTTGATTTAATGAAATAGTCAGATGCCACTCAGGGACTTGATATTCAGAATTTACTTTTTGATATTTGGATGAAAAATAATGCTATTCTTCAAATCTGTAAGGTTTGCTGTCATTCAGCTCAGCAGCAAGACTTCCACTCCTGGGAGTGGAAACTCAGACATTTTATTTTAAGCTTTTGGGAGATGAACTTTTCCCACTCATCTCTTCAGAGTCTGACAGTAATCCCTCAGCAAAAGGCTTAGTCCTGCCAGAACACTGATGTCCCATGAAATCAGGGCAAGTTGAAGAAAAATATTCTTAGTACATTCTGCTCATTAGCACTAAAAGAGAAGCTGAGGAAATCCCAATACCCAAACAAGTACATATCAAAGGTCAAACAAATATTTATCACCGAATGACACAAAAAATTGCAGCTTCAATGGCAGAGTTGAGTGAATGATACCATTTTCTTATCTGTAAAAAATTATGTCTCTCATTAATTCTTTTCACAGTAAAACTGTTTCATTACTTATCCTTTGTATAAGCACTTAGTAGCAAAGGTGATCCTGGGTGGTATATGCTGGTTTTCTCTTTAATATCTACTATGAGAGATCAGATATTTCAATTGTAAAAGCAAAATGAAAACAAACCTCCAAAACTGAAGAATTGCTCTAAGCAAATAAAAAGCTTTTGGTATCAAAGCATCACTGGGCAGGAAGAAACATGTACTTTCTCCTTGAAGAAAACTGGAGACCACTGGAATTACAGATTTATAAGTTCTTTCAAAAAGCATCAACCTGACTCTGATAGTGTTCTCTGCTCCAGCTCAAATTTATTAAGTTGAAATCTAAAACTGATATGAGAACAAACATTAAAAAAACCAGGCATGTAAACATACAGAATTGGAAGAAGTTTCTTTGGAAGAGTAAGTAAGTTCTGGAATGGATTTTCAATAAGAAACAGGGGCAAAAAAGACAATAGCAATATATTCATGAAAGGGATTATATTCAATATGATAACAGGGTAATAACAGGTGATTGGAATATGTTCCCACCTAGAATGTAAATGTTAATCTCAGAATTAGGCCCAATAAGGAATGACTACCAAAAAATAAGTGTCCATTCACAGCTGGATATCACAGCTGAGTCTGCCCTGCCATTACATTGTTCAAATACAGCCCCCAGCCTATTTCTTAGTCAGAGAAAAAAAATGTAACCCTAAAATCTTGGTGCTCTCAGGTTACAAAGCAGGTACTGAAAGAACCAGAGATTAGCTCATCTTTCAAGCTCATTTTGAGTTATAAACTGAATTAAAGAATTTACTCATTTGGGTGAAAGACCATTATTCCCTTAAAACAACACGGATAGAAGTTAACTATTCAAACGCTCCAAGTCCTCATGTTTTCCCGGAACATATGTCCTTGTCCAGAGGGAAAGGTGAGTTCTCCCAAAAATCACTGAGAAGAGATAAGAGTGATTTATTTTAGCCTTAGTCCTTCAGACTGTGAGGTAGTTCTGAACATTGTGAGACTCTTTCAGAGGTCCTGGCATCTCCTGGAAGTACCATGAAGCCAAAGAAGCTGTGGCACCTCCATGACCATAGTATTTCACCATAGTGAAATACTTCCAGGGCACAAAGCAATTCTGGTTGGAGGAAAAGGAGTACAGTCAGTGAGTAACAAAAGACTGCACACAAGTCAAGGAAGGCAAACGAGGCTGGAGGCCAAATCGGTTCTCAGCTGCCACTGGACATGACAGTTCCAGGCTACATCCCCTCTGTCACTACAACTGACACAGCAGTGCCTTGTTCTTTGTCCCCACAAGTGACCACAAGTCACTGAGACCTTCTCCACCAAGTCAAATGCCACCATTAAGCTTCAGTGTCAGAGTGGTTTGCAGACACAGTTGTGCAAATGCTGAGCACCTCGTGGAGCCCTCAGAAACTTCCTGAAATCAGATGCTGAACTTGTCTCTTGTAACACAAAACCACAAACCAGTCATTTCATGTGCCCTTATCACATTAGATCTTCAGCTTTTTTTTTTTCACTCTTGCAATGAGCCAAAATAAACCTATTTTTCATGCACTACCATTAACCTATAAAATCTACTTTCTGTCTTTTGTTAGAAGAGCTTTGGAGCCCTTGGTGATAAACACTGATAATCATTGCTCAACATTTTAAAATGTGCCCATTTAAACTTGGTATGAATATTCTGCAGATTTTTTTTAGTGTCCCTCCAAAGTGTTTGCATGCTTTCTGCAAAGAAAATAAATAGAACAAATAGTATGGCACCACAAGTTGGTCAATTATTAGCTTTTGCATACCCAGATCACAGCCTTTCTTTACAAGGGCACGTGTTAATATATAATAGAAATGTATTCCAGTTCTGTTTTAATTGATTTTTCAGACACACAGTGCAATCTTATAAGGTCAGCTGGAAAGCAAGTTGGCCAAAGAGAGGCCTTTCAGAAAAATGAGCCACTACCCACACATCATGAGAAATAAAACTGGAGCTAGACATATGAAAATGATTTTTTATTTTGTAGTAGTCTCACTCAAGTCTGGACAAATTGTCCATAATGGTCTTAAACTGTGACGTGAATATTTCTCAGAGGAGAGAGATGTAATAAATGTAATGAGCCAGATTTACAGACCACTTCTTCAAGCTGCTGGTGCCAACCACAGCTGTGACTGTCCCTGTGAAGATGCAATTGTTATTTAATATACAGTTATCATTTTGGGAATGTAGAAATGGTAAGTGGGGAAACTGCTAGCCAGTTTAATATGATTTTGTGCATAGGAAATGTGGTGGCAGGGAATCCAAAATGATCAGGGTAAGTACACACAGCAGTCAAAATTTTTGTGACTACATTCAGAGACAGATCTAGGAAAATGTGAGAAAGAAATGTTTTATTCTGAGACAGATTAAGGCAAGTCAGAGTTTTATGAAACAAAATATTCCTAACATATGGTCATGGACAAAAATGACCAGAGAAAAAATAAGCAGAAAATTAGAAAATAGTGGCCAGAGAACAGCAAACTGACTCATGCAGCCTGAAGAGAGAGAGTGAGCCAGGGAACCAGAGACCAAGAAGCAGTCAGGACTCACCTGGCTCACTGGGGGACCTTTGATAAGATAAAGAAAATTGTATCAGAACAGTCCATCCAGTTCAGCCTGAACTTTGGACTGTTGTATCAGATAGGGGCAGTTTTAATGCAAGGACTGTGTTAGAGCTCTTCACACCCTGCTGAGACCATGTTTATTCTGTACCAAGTTCAAAATCATACATAGGTAAAAACACCTGGAAAAAAAAGGTTACACCAGAGGTGTAAAGATATGAGGACTGTACATTCCTATACACAACCCTGCCCACAAAGCCAAAGAACACTTGAGTGGTATGTTTAATATATCTGGTGGCTAAACTCTCCCATCTCTGTGCTAAGCAAAAAAAAGGAAAAAGGCCCTTGAGACTAAGAGTTCCTGAAACTGTCTTTCCAGAAACCCCAATTCCCAGTTTTGCCATCCATTTATCTTCAAGTATTGCAATAAATTGCTAAAAATGAGCTAATTTCAGATGCATTTTCAAATGGAATTATAATAATAATTTATTATTTATGAATTGCACATTATATATTTATAAGTTACGATTTGCAAAATTTAGCACCCTGTCTGAAGGGACCTGTAAGAGGGGAAAAAAGTCAAACAACCAAAACCAAAACCATTTCAAAACTGAAACTAAGAATGTGTTCTAATCAACTGTACAACAGAAAAATGAGGCATGTCATAGACAGTAGACTACATTTTACAGAGACAATGACCTTATTTCCTTCATTAACATGAGTCAGAGTGCCATATCATTAGAGATAATAAGGGAAGGTGTTACCAGGGGTAGGTGACAAGACAATCTACTTCAGGCTGTTCAGCTGTTCCAGGAGACTCAGAGTAACTTCTTTATCACTAGAAAGATGGGGCTCTCAAGTTTTCTAGGTGAACCAAGTCTGACACAGACAGCAGAAACTAATCAATGTGTCAGCCTCTTACTGGATGGGATGTCAGAGCAGCTGTGGAAGGGCTTTATCGACAAACATAAACTTAGTGACCCATCTTGTACGTTTCTGTAATATTTTCCATTATAGAAAATCTTGTGGGTTTAAGTGTCACAGAATCACAGAATATGCTGAGTTGGAAGGGACCCACAAGGATCATCAAGTCCAACTCCTGGCCCTGCACAGGACCATCCCCAAGAGTCGCACCATGTGCCTGAGAGAATTGTCCAAATGCTTCTTGAACTCTGTCAGGCTTGGTGCTGTGATCACTTCCTGGGGAGCCTGTTCCAATGCCCACCCACCCTCTGGGTGGAGAACCTTTTTCTAATACCCAACCTAAACCTCCCCTGAGACAACTGCAGGCCGTTCCCTCGGGTCCTGTCACTGGTCTTATCCCTAAATATTCTCTAGAGGTAAAGCAAATTCTGCAGAGGTGACAGGTGACATACAGCACTCCTTTCACCATTGTGGATCTATTCCTTGGTGGGCAAATGGCAAACTCCTGGAATACTTACTGCACACCAATTGTGGGACTTGTTCAAGTCATAAAGCAGATCTACCACTGAGTTGCAAGGTCCAAGCCACAGGCAGACAGCACAAGTTCCTGGGGTGAAAAGCAACACTTGCTCAGCAAGTTTCAGTCCAAGTCTCCTTGGCAAGCAGCAAAGTAATGGAGGAGTTAGAGACTGAAGGTCACCACTACAATGCCAGTTTTTAAGATGACAATCTAATTTACATCTCATCTTATACTGGTGAGATTATCTAATGTTATATATCTCATTTAGTGCATCAGTGAGATGTTGGTTGATCTAATTGGATCCAGAAACTTGACAGGAAAACCAAAAAGAGTTTGGAACTGTCTGGGTGAATCCAGGGCAGAAGCCTGAATGCAGCAAACACTTTTCTATTTACATTGTCTTGGGCTTTAAAGTGTGTTCACCCCCAGTTTGGGATGCGTCCAAATGCATTATGAGTTTGTTTTGCATTTTGTTGCATCAGAAAAAACCTATATGTAAACCTGGAAACCTGAGACCTGAGTTTCTTTTAGCTCTATGGACTTTAACCAGGCCATACAACACATGCACACATGCTATTAAAGTTTCTGTCTCTTAACAGCTGTGAGGAAAACCTCAAGGATTTGATCCATACAGACAGGCAGGTGTGCAAGGAACCTGGAATAAGAATTCAGAGACCTCTATATTAGCTTAAATACCTCCTAATGGCAATCTGAAGGCCAACATTATTAAATTAGTTAATAATTAACTTCTTATTATGCTTATCAATTTTATTTTTTGCTCATTACTGTTTGCATAAGAAAACAAAGATAGGTCAAGACTTACACAGAAATGCATTCCTTGGTATCTCAAATTGGGTGCTGTATCTGCTGTTGTGCCACATTTTCTGTCTTTCAGTCAGGAAGAACCCAAACTAGCAAAATAACTGGCATCTTCCCTGGCAGTTTTCTTACAAGCAGTTAGAGGGTGGCCACTCCAAATCATTTAAGACCCACCTTTCGAGAGTATCGTGTGCTCACAGTTTTTACTGAAATAAATGGGAACTACAGCAGGTCAAGTTATATCTCCTTACCCCCTTTCTCCAGCATGGACCCAATCCCACATAGTTCATTCACCATCACTGTCATTAGTGGTCTGAGACAAGAACAAAGAAGGCAACAGACTCTTCCCATGTGGGAATTTTGCCCAAGAGAAATATCACAGGGGTTAAGTCCTGTGCTACTGTTTCTCATTTGTAAATCAGGATTTATTAGCCTTCCCTATTTCAAAGGGCTGTGGAATGATAGAGGGTTTAACACAGATATACTGCAGTAATAATATAATAAGCTACATATCCATGAAACATTCTCTGGGAGCCTAACTGAATCAGATAAAAATGTTTTAAAAAGCCATAGCTGGAATAACAAAGCTGTCTTTTCCTTCTGTTCTGAGGCAGTTTTGGCAGGAAGAGATATACTGCAGTGAGCACACAATAATTTTTCTGTTTTCAGATATGAAAGAGAGTAAGAACTGTGGCATTATAAAAGGATGATCTGAGAAAGCCCATGTCGTGTGGTTTACACAAATATCACTGACCTCACAGTGTCTCCTGGCTTTGTTCAGGCTGTCTCTCGAACAGCTTGTAGGACATCCATGATCTGCAAACAGATAAACATTCAATTCTAGGTGAACACTTTGGTCTATGGAGAAACCCACTGAAGTCAGCAGAGTTCCCTGTGTACACAAAACCATGGTAATTGTGGTCAGCTACAGCATTAGACTCTTGGGTCCTGACTTTCAGAACTGCTCAGCACATTATACTGCTCCAAGAGCACCCTGTAACAGCTGGGACAGGCAGTGAGATAATTTTAAAATCAGGTCCTTAGTACCATACTGGACTTAACCTTCTGGCCTAAACTTTGCATGACAGGGCAGTGTGTGAGCATTGCTCTAAGGGGATTTCTCTCTTCTGTCTGCTTTTGCCAACAGTGTTGGCCAGTGAAGACTGTTGTGCAAAGAAAAAAAAAATATCCCAGAGTTTATCCTCTCACTTCTAAGCCCTCATCCCTAGAACACACAGATTTAAAGGAACCTTTTGTGCAATACACAAAATAAAACAGCTGGCTGCCCACAAGGCCTCACCCAAGACAAAACAGTAACAGTCCTTCAGTTAATCTATCTTCCTGGCTCAACCAGACGCCAAGGAATCCAGAGCCTCCCAGACTTCTGGGAAGCAAGGAAATATCATAAAATGCCACAGGTCAAAACATCTAATGCTTCTTTGCTGTCCCTGGTCCAGAGCTGTTAGGGAACAGTCCTCAGGCTGAAGGCTACTGCTGATACACTGGGGGCAGGATGCTGTCGCTGCTGGGATTGTGCCGTTCCTCTACACGGCAAAAATGAAATCACCTCCCAGATTTGCATTCCATGAAAGGCCAGGTAGCCAAAATTGTCCCTTTGTGAAAAAGGGTGGGGGAATAAAAAAAGGCAAACAGGAATGTGTGTGTCCTTGGTCAAGGTTCTTTCATTTTTTTTCTTTCTTTTTTTTTTCCTCCCACTTAGGTAAATATTTTGGTGTGTTGGAAGCAAAGAAATAGCCTTGGGCTAATACCTGCAGATTAAAATGTGAAGTTGATCACTATCAAAATACTTCGTGACCTAAAATGAAGCTCTGAGTAATCATCACAATAGGTAATAAGGAAATTGAAGAATTAAACCATAGTCATAGAATCGTTTGGGTTGGATCAGACCTTTAAAGTTCATCTAGTCCAACCCCCCAGCAATGAGCAGGACATATTCCTCTAGACCAGGTTGCTCAGAGCCCCAGCCAACCTGACCTTGAATGTTTCCAGAGATGGGGCATCCATCACCTCTCTGGGCAACCTCTGCCAGTGTTTCACCCCTGTCACAGTAAAAAATTTCTTCCTTATAACTGGTCTAATTCACCATCACAGTGACTTTGTCAGACAGAGTACCCAAAATTTAAGTTCCACTTTAACAGCTTAAATAGTTTTTACTTTGCATGATCTGGCTTTCGTCACAGGGATGGATCTGACTGTTACACAACATGATTTGATGGCAGGGTACCAGCAATGCTCTCCACATTTCTCTGTTGTGAGTAGCGACAACTCTTGCCATTTCAGTCCCATGTTTTGGTTATTTATATGGATCTCTATTATTAGAAAATTAGAAAATCTCACAGATTTACTTCCCATCACTCCTTATCTCCATTTCCTGTAAGTCAAGAACATCATCTTATTCCCACTGAAGAGCTGAGGACTGGAGGCACAGTGAGAAGTGAGTTGTATGTGACAGTCGATGGTCTAAGAAGAAACTGAGCGTATATCTACAGAAATCTTGGTTGCAAGCCAAACCAGATGACCATATTTGAACCAAATCAAACTGAATTAAATAAAAGCTTTCTGCAGCACTCAACACGATGTTATTTATGCCTTGAAACAGCATATCTGTTTCCCAGATCTTCTTGTCCAATTATTTAAAGGCTTGGTCCAGCAGAGATAACATACAGAATCTGACTGTCAAAAGATCTGCTGCCAGCTGCAGTCACCTGCAGGGACTGGGAAGAAAGACATGACTGATGATAGCATCAAGACTTTGGCTGAGACTCTTCAGCTTCATAAAGCTGTCATTGTTTGAAAAGTGATGTCTGTTCCTTCTGCATCATGATGGAACCAGCAGTGATCCATCCCTTGGATTCTACCCAAGGAAAGGCCAAAGAGAAACGTGAAAAACAAAGGAAACGAGCACACGGCTGTTGGCTGACTCTGCCCCCAACCACAACCCACACGAGCTCAGTTTGTTGTTTTGGCAGGACAGGCGGCACTGGATAAGCAAGAAGAGCTGAAACTGGCAGAACAGTCAGAAAAGTATTTGGAGTTGTTTATGTATGAATGATTGCAGGGTGGGAAGGGCAGACATCTTCTCTTTGGATAGATCAGGTAAAGCCCTGGGGGCAGCACTGAAAACAGAGCCCTTTGCAATAAGATGAGTAACATGATCCTGGACTGCTTTCGCTCTTCCCTCTGTGCAGACTCCAAGTTAGAGTGGAGCTTTGCCTTGGAGTCCTATTGAATGCTGCATTCACAGGCATTTGTTAAATCCTGCTATAGCCCAGAGGATGCCCTACCACTTTAATCCTCTATTAACAACTGCAGGTTTTCAGAGTTGTAGCCAAGGTTTGTGTGTTGATTCTCAGTCTCAAGAGGCCTTGGAATATTTATATGCTGTATTTACCTCCCTCTGATTTCATTACAGGAGTGATAATTGGCACTTCCATGCTACCTTCTAAAAAGGAGGGACAGCAGCAGAGGTGTGACAACACCAGCTATGCTTAATTGCATTCAAATTCAGAGTAGTAGGCAGGGAACCAGTTTAAATGTAATGCCTGTTTTGCAGAGCTAATAACCTGAGAAACTGCTACTATTTGAATTGTTCAGCATTGCCTGGATTGTGGGGATTATTCCTTTTGTAAACACAGCCGCTGCGGGGCAGCAAGACATAAGCATTCCATGCCCCCAGAGGCTGAAGTGTGCTGTGCCTCCCCCCGGGTCCCGGTGAGGCTGTAAGTGTTGTTACCCTCCGCCTGCAGGCGAGCGGGGACGATGCAAAGGTTAACACCCTTTGCTGCAAGCACATTTCCCAGGTCAGGGTGACTTAGTGACTTGGGGATCCATTACAGGTTTTGAAGGTGATGTTGAGATAAGGCAGCACCAAAACTGCTCTGCGTAGTTTGCGTGTCTATTCTGAGAGAAGCTGTCAACAGCTCAGAGCTCGAGGATGTTTGAACTTCGCTTGCGCGCGGTGCCAAATTATACGTTCTCAGGAGGCTCACGCCTACATGCAAACAGACAAGTTGCTATTTGCTTTTGCCATTTTCCCAGAGGAAATGATGGTGCCAGACAAGTGTGAGCAGACCAACCTCATATAGAGTGTCTGGCTCTGTGGTTTTGTAGCTCTGGAAGTAGAAATGACGGGCACTCCCACTGCACTTCGGTAATTGCCCAGGGACACACAAGGGTGATTCTAATCATCGAGAGCATGAGATGCCCCTTCCCAGATCATCTCCAGACTCAGACTCACAAGAACTTTCCAAATTTGAACCAAGGTTTTCATAGAATTTCTCACTGCTCTTCATTGCCTTGGATTCCTGGAGCACTTGCACTGAGCTGAAGAGGGGAGATTGTAACTGATACGAGCTTGATAATGGAGACATAACTACTGGAGCTCATAACCATGACTTGGAGACATAAGATAACTAAAACACTACAGAAGCTACTTTTTTTGAAGTTTGGATTCTTGCCATCAAAATGAGGACAAGCAGACCATTAAAACTGGTTTGAGTAAAACACAGAAAGTTCTATCCACCTGCTTGCTCGAAACAGCAAATCAGATGTTATAGTCACTGCTGAGGATGAATTTTGAGCCAGATCTCTGACATTAAGTACACACATCTCTGTGTGTTCTGTGACAGCCTTTCTCATCTTCCATTAATCATTTGACAGATCAAGATTTTCTGACTTTAAATATAGTCAATAATGAATAAAAGTTTTATTTACTGCAAGTTGGTTACTGAGCAAGAAAACAATCAATTTTAGTTCTCAGCTTATCTTTGTAATAAATAATGTAAGAATTTTCTACATCTTTTTTTGCCCTCTAAACATAAATCACAAGAAATAAAACCTTTAGTTTGATCAAAATTTGCATTTCTTGATAGCTTTCCACATGAATTATCTTACCATGTCAAATAAGCAGAAGAAATAGATTCACTTAGTGAGCCTGGATAAGAGGGGGAACAAAAGAAGAAGAAAAAAATAAACCCAAACCTCGCAATAATTGAAATTGTCTGTTTTGATTTTCTTTCCGTAGGTGCCAAGATACGAGAAGTTGGCACTGAAAAGATATCTTTAGATAAGTCTTATCCATTATTAAGTTAAATCAGTGCTACAGACTACACCATAAAGAGATATGGCTTTAAGTGTATGAGTTCAAATGTCAGAAACAGCCCAGACATGACAGAATAGAGCTCCCTGCAGGTTAATGGGTCCTCTTTCTTGGCAAGGTGAAGACACAACCTGAGACAGTAAAGAAGCTACTTGCCTCCTCAGTCAGAGCACCATGACTTTCTAATAGGAAATTAAAAACACTGTTAATATCTGAATTATTTTTTCCTTTATCTTCTCTATGGAGCATTATGGGATAGAGAGAACTAAAGTTTTGTGTTTGGGTTTTGTTTTGGTCAGTTTGAGGAGGTAAATATTTTTTAATGTAAGTGCACACTCATATAAAACACTTGGAAAGAAAATTTTTGAAGATTTAGCTATAAAGTATTGCTTTTCTTATGCAGTGAGTAAATTCCTCACACAGACGGGAAAAGGTTCCTTTGTTTGTTTCTTTTTGACTAGTATAGAAAGTAGCAAGGCATAACTTCCCAGCACTCTAATCACTAAATTGTACATCGAAAGGCGAGGTGCAGTGAACTTCTGCCCAAACCAAAAGTGGTAATAAAGCTGACTGGGAGATACAGTTACCCAGGTGTGTTTAGGCCACTCAACAAACTGCTGCCCCAGTGCACAGTTGTGGGGACCCACCTAGTGAACACACGAAGAATTGCACCCATCCAGAATATCAAAGAAAGGGAACATTGAGCCAAGGAGACAAATAATTGAACAATATAATTTAGACTCTTCCAAGTGGTGAAACATGTGGCAAGACAAGAGAGACCACAAATTCCGGCCAACCTACAGTCACCATCTGGTACTGCTTTGTAATTTTCAGATAACTTGGTTCCAAAATCTGGTACAGCAGAAGTTGCATTTAGGAGAATGGAGAATATATTTTGGTTTAACTCAAATTGGTGCAGTGCCAGAAGACATATTTGGGACTATCACTCAGTGTTACTAGCCTGAGCACTAACAAACCCAGGAGTTGGTCTTTGTAAAATAAGAATGGCTTTGTTAAAAAATACTACAAAACATTTCCCTTTGTTCTTTCTTCATTTATTTTTATTTTTAAATTGACTCTTGTAGCATGAACTGTCAAATCTTAAAGGCTTTATTCCTCTGATCACAAGGGCTGGAGGCTTTCACTACAGTGAAAGCTGAAATTTTAACCTTATTTCTTCTGGCAACAAAGGCTGTAAGAACACCACTAGGATTGTTTGATTTACAACAAATTTTTATGTAATGAAGGGCTGAAGTGAAATTTTGTTACAGGCAATATCGATCTGTTCACCATGGTGTTCGAAGGGATTTTGGCCTCATTTCCTCATTTCCCTGTCCTCACCTAAACCACAAAACTTTCATGAGTAAAGAATCTCCAAAATATGTAGGCATTAAAATCAGATACCTGACTAAACCACTGGTATTTTCTCTTAATGATACAATATTATATATTCTTTTTTCCCCCCAGGAACAGAAAAAAGGGGTGAGATTTAGTATTCATTTAGCATTGAAAATATCTTATGATACTCTCTTTTTTTCTGCTTGAATGAAGCAGCAAACATCTTCTGCTTTGCCTCCTGAAGATCCTCCAAAAAAAGGTTGGAGGATCAGTTACAAAAAGATATGTTTTAGTGCAGGAACTGCCCCCCAAATCTTCGAATCACTTTGATTCTGCTCTTTATACATATTTAGGTTCCCATGGTTTATGTGACTTTATTTCCAGAAAAGTCCTGGATAACTAACACCACAGGACAACTTCCTAGCATACAATACTGCCACTTAGGTTTGGAGAAGAGCCATCCCTACCAATTTAGAGGCAAGAACAGAATTCTAGTTTATCTCTCCTACTCCAAGTTTTCTTTTTTCTTTCTTGACAAGACTATTCCAAGAAAATTCTGACTCTTCTAAATCCTCTTCTTGCCAACCAGCCTAATCTCAGACCTTGAAAATATTTTATTTCCACTTCTTTCTCTTATCTTATTCAAGATACTACTACTATTACTTACTAGCATTTCTCTAACAAGTGATACTTTACATAAAGTTCTACTTGAACTCTAGGGCTCCTGTAAAATCATGTCCTAGTAGTCATTGCACTACTGGGGACACAGGGACTCTCCTCAGGGCTCTGGATTACACAGAAACATCAAGGCACACAGGCCATACCTGCTTTCTACCTGCACAACCACTGCTGTCCCTGAAAGCCAGGGGAGCAGGAATTACTGTCAGGTTCTTTGGAGCAGTGATTTTTGACCCCAGCAGTAGGAACAGAAAGCTTTGCTCTCTAAGGCCCTTCCTCTTTGGCTCAGCACCTTCTATTCCTCCCTTCCCTTTGCTGAAATAGTTCCTTTTCTCCTGTGCCCTCCCCCTGCTTCCTCCTCTTCTCAGCAGCCCCAAACAAGCAGAAGTTGCTGTAGGAAGAAGACAGGGTATATTGTTGTTTGTGGTGATAGGAATTGAGACACAAGGCTGCACAGGCAGGTTTGGGGCCCCATAACCCTCACAGTGCTATGAGAGAGACATCTGGGTGAAGAATGACACTCCTCTCTCTGTGGCTCTCCAAAGCCTCTCCAAGCCTCCCTCCCATCTACAGCATCCATAAAATGCTTCTGACCCCTTCCCCAGCTGGATCACCATACAGCACCCTCTAATTCCTGCTTCTGAAAATGTTACCTAAAACTGAGGAGCTTACAGCTAATTCTGCTTGTTGCACATGGCAGGTAGATCCTAAATGGCATTGCTACCAATCCCTCTCCTGCAGCTTTGTGTCCTTATGTAGTTTCCATTTACCTTTTACACTTTCTTATCCTCTCTTAATGCTTTAGGTGTTTTATCCCGGTGTTTTAACCTGCCCTGCCCATGTACAATGTCTCAACAGAGATAAACAGCCAAAGTTTTTAACACCAGGGGGCATCTCATAACTTGAACAGACTTCCTTGCTATTAACATGCTGTTTATTCCCTTGAACAGCACAATGTCTATTCAGGCCACATTTCAGCAGTATTTATCTTCCAGTGTCACCATTTTCCTTAAGCACTATACTTCTTTCAGAGCTTGACATCTTCAGATAGTGAGATAATGGTTTCCTCCAGTCATTCATTTAATTTAATAGGCCTCAAAATTACCTTAAGCTTTTTAATCATATAGATTTTTTTTCTCTTGCTAAAATAAGGAATAAAGTAACTGCACAGCTCTTGGGTTCTGTATAGGCCAACTAGAATGCTTACTTTCTAATTTGTTTTCATCATTTATACACTTCCAAAACTTGCATTTTAGAAACACTGCTTTTGGTAGCCTACTCCCATACATTTCTCTGGTAAACCACAAGTTAGTGATGCAACAGAGTACACTGCTGATGGGGATTTTTTTGTTTTGTTTTGCTTTGGATTTGCCTGGGAATCCTAAGAGAGGTCAGGCTTGTAGTGATACTTAATTGTCCACAAGTGCTTCTAATCCAAACAAATTAAATGTGTTGTGGGGGTAAGAATTTTATCAACATACTGTATATAAAAACTAAAGACATCAAGCAATAAAATTGGATTTATGGAGGGACAGTCACATTTCCTAATTCTTGTCCTCTTAGCTATAAGAATATAATTTCCTCTTCAGTTCCTTACACATGCATAAGGTAGGAAACACAACTACTCCTGAATTGCATACATTCTTTGAGACAAACAATGCAAAGGTGAGGAATACCAATATACCTCAGGCCTCTGAAAAGGAAGTACAAGTACAAATTGTCAAGTTGTGAAATTTTTTTAGCGTGGGTCACAGAAGACAGTGAAAAATCAGAGGGGGGGGGGGGTAAAAGAAGGGGTAAAAGTCTGTGATTCTGTGATTACAAGAGATAGTAACATTGCTACAGAGAAGCAGAGAACTAGCCCCAGTTGGTATGAATCAGCATAATTTTGTAAAACCAATGGGAAAAAATAGAGCTAAAATGGAACTGTGAACATTACTGAATAATCATCCTTTTCTTGTTATACATACGTCCTTTTTACACATTTCTCAGCTGTGGGAAAGAGAAAACCCATCCTTGAGAATGCAGAAAACAAAACTGCAGCATGAAAAAAAAGAAGGAGCATCCTGTTATACAACAGGTATGGGGCTAGAGGCTGAGGCATCTTTTGATGAAAGATACTGGGAAGATTATACCTGCTATGAGAAAAAATTACAAAAAATATAAATATCTGTACAAAAGAAATGCCACAATTCAGGCTTGGAGTCTTTGTCTCAGTTTGAACTCTATCTAACCTCTGTTTAAGTGACATAACTAAAGGTTTTGTCAGACTTTTCAGGAAGTCTGAAGTCTAAATCTTTCTCACATACCTATGAAACTTACTTTTCAGATGTTTTCATCAAAACAGGAAGAAAGAGTGATGCAACAGAATGAGCACTGAAGGACTCGCTTCTATTTTTTGTCTGCCACTGCTTAGTTGGATGACCTGGAACAAATAACTTCATGTTTCTTTGCTTTAACTTCCACATCTGTAAAAAGAAGATAATGTCACTGAGCTCCTCTGCAAATAAACTTTTTTCCTTCTCTTATCAGGGAGTAGAAACAATAATAAAAGGAAACTCTTGGTAGATTTCTAGTAGAGTTCATTGGGGAAAAGCCAAATCAATTATGAGATTTCTGGAGTTTATGGGATTGTTTTCATTCTCAAAACTTTGCAAAACAGTCCAAAGTGGAAAAGAAATCAACTCAGGCTGACTCAGACCCCAAGCCTGTGAAGTGTTCTGAGCACAATTGAGCAACACTGGACAGAATGTTTAGCCAATTACCTCTCCACAGATTCCAAGGAATGTTTTATTGCAGTAAGAAGAAATTCTAGAATATGTAGCATCTCACTATCAGATCTTAAGAGTGAGAACTTCTGAACATGAAAAATAGATGAAATTTAGCCAGCAACACCTCAAAGACAAAACACAGCTTTTCCACAGTTCTGGAGAGACTCTACAGAAGAAAAGTGTTAAGAAGTACATCAAAATAACAGTCGGGGCTGAAAAGTGAAGGAAAAAGTTGAAGGGAATTGAATAGAGCATGACAATACTATTCTCTGTATGCTCAGTGCTGCAGTGTTTTGCTAAGACAAAACAAGTCTTAGCAGGGTCCTTAGATCTGTGAATTCTCCCAAGCACTGTCTGTCACACACACCTGGCTTCTTCCTCATATTCCTGCACATTTTAGGGCCACATCACATATGCTCATCATTCCTACCCACAACTTGTTTCTTGCTTCATTAGCGTGGGTTAATGTTAATATATTTAGCTGGTTGTTAGATCTTATCTGTGTCCTGTGGATGAGAAAAAGGAGAGGGCCTGTCAGTTATATGGTATTAGATTTGCTCTCGTCTCTGTCTCACCTTGAAGAGAAGGACATTTGAGAGGTACAGATGCTCTGTTAATGTTTTTATTATTTATTTATTTTATTTATTTATTTATTATTTGTTGTATGATCAGGGCATTCTCTCAATAAACAGCAAATGGGAACATTGCTGCAGTAGCACAACTGGTTAACAATGCAGTTTTAGAAGTATAAACGTTCCTTCCATCCTTGTTTAAGCCCAAAAAAGAAACTCTGAGCCTGCTGAATTTGTTTTATTAAAACTGTCATCAGCCCAAGAGGACAGCACTAGTGCTAAAAGTTCTGTAATTCCAATGAGAAAATGTAAACCATTTGAAGCACAAGAGACTGATGAAAATCTGATTCTGCATTCCAAAACTCACCTAATTATCATCTGGCTTTTCTAATTATCCTTCTTTCTAATTTCTTTGCCCTGAGTCCTAGCCTAAATTCTTCTTAGGCAAGTTCTGCTACTCTTAACAAGTTCTAACTGGTCTGATTCACAGTAAGGTGCAAAACCTGTCATCAACCAAATTAGTTTTGATTTACCGGTGTGAAAAAAAAATTAAAAATCTGTTTCAGCTGCAGGATGTAACAGCCTAAAAATCTGTCATCTGGTGGCTTCAGCAGCAGCATCTGTGGTTGCCCCAGAACTCTTGGCCATCAGGTATCTTCCAGGTATCTTAGGCAATCAGGCACTGTGCTCAAAGTTCACTACGCATCCACGCACCGTTAAACAGTTCACTGTGACTTCAAACCTTCCCACAATTCTTACTATCAATAAATCCGAGTATCTTAAGATGGTTTTTCATACATAATCTCTTGTATTCTTCTACTAAATGCTGAATTCCTGCCCTGCTGAATCAACTAGCTAAGGAAACTTAAGGAAATATCATTAGAAACCGAGCAATATTCCCTCTGTACAGCCTGGCAAAGCCTATAAATTCTGACACTCAGATTGAGGTGTCCCACGGAGATGTCTTCATGTGAACACAGATTCCTCCTAGAGTCGATACAGAATTACTCAATATCGTTGATGGGTTCAAAATACACTCATATTTCCACTTCAGGTGGTCTGGACAGTTTGCTGTGCAGCCACGAGCAGGGTTCAGCTTGCCAACCACCAGTGCTTCGTGACAACTGTGGTGGACTGAGACATCAAAGACTTCCATGGGAGACTTCAGATAGAACAGGTTTTTAGGAGCCCCACTGCTTCCTGGAGCAGGAGGCCAGGTAGAAAACTCCACATGCCTAAAGTGGCACTTTATGTAACCAAATCCCACATTAGTTCTCTGCTGAGTGTAAGGAGAGCTTAGACATCTGGTTCACATGGAGACACCTACACACTGAAACCCAAATTTAGGTGCCTTAATCTGCTGGCTGAATCCACCTCTTTACTTGGAGATTTCCTCAGCTGGCAGCTGCATTAGCATTATGTTTGAGGGGCTTTTTCTCATTTCCATTTCTAATCCACTCACGAGAACATTTATACTTTTGGCCTCTCAGATACCCTTGCAACAATTTACAACTGTAACTCTAGAGAAAAGATACTTTTGTTTCTTTTAAATTTATTGCCTGGTAATTTCACTCAGGGCACCTATCTTGTGCTACAAGAAACACAGAATTCACTTTCTCTATGACAAGAGATTTTAAACTATTTAAGTGTATTTAAACACCCTTTTTTTTTTTTTTTTTAAGGAAGCAATTCCTCACTTCCAATCAGTTCATTGCTTTTCTCTGTACCTTTCTTAGTGCTTTAGGGAGAATTTCACACAATATTCAAGATGTGCAAGCACTTGCAGTTTTACAAAGCATCCCGTCTTGTTCTTTATTCCTTATCTTAATGTACCTAACATCCTTTTGGCCTTTTCACCTACTCCAAAGCATGAGAGATTGATATTTTCAACAGACTAGCCATGATAGCTCCATGAATTCTTCCCCGAGTGCTCCCAATAAATTTAAGGGTATGAGGAATGATCTTGTTCTACAGGGTTTTCCTCAGTGCTGGATAACAGTCTCTCTCTTCTATTCAGACATCTATTTTTGCAAAGGTATTTAGAATATAATCCCTTTGAGATCTTCACCCACTATCAAATTTGATATATATGGCCCAAGATTTCAAAAGTATTTGAGAAGAGAGAGCAGATCAGATAAACCCATATACATACTCAGAGTTGTCATTTGACCCTATTTTCTTTGGAAAACAGGCAAAAAATCACATTAAGTGATCTCTAGTTGGAAGGAAGAGGTCTGAGAGCAACCAGACAAATGTTCTGCTTCCTCAAACACTCCAAATAAACTCTGCAGCACTTACAAGGATTTTTTTAAACCATTCACAGCCATAATCACATAGAAATTCTAGTAGGGGATATGCAGACTGACTTCAGTCACGGACAGCATGTAGGCAAACAATTGTAAGAGGAAACAACTGAAACAAATGCAAGTTTTCTCAGTTGGAGTTTCCCCCAGTCTTCTCTATCTCAGCTGATCAACAAGCTCTACACATCAGCTGGGGAAATTTGTACTGAACAATTTGGAGTTAGAAAAATAATATACATTAATTCTGTTTGGTTTTGGGGACATTTACCTCCTTTTTTCACAAAGGAAGTGAGTCAATCTAAGAAATGAGACAGCATTTAAACAATATCTTTTGCAGCTCAGTGTCCCTTTCTCTTGTGTCATTTCTGTGTCCGAGACATGCCAACAACAGAAATGACATTTCAGTGCTTGAGTACATGTGGATTCCAGATTCTGACCACAACCCACACTGACAGAGGATTACTTTGGGTTATGACTTCTTGCCAGCACTTTTATATGAGTTCTTGTCCCTTGCTGTGAGCAGGTTGGTAGTGGGTCGATTCGTTAACACTAAGGAGTTATCACAGAGTTTATTAAGCGATTGGGCTGGACAGATTATCATTATCAGGAATTCTGAGAAGTGAAACACGTATCAAAGATCTTATAGTAAATGAGGCTAAAAGGTAGCATTTTATTAATTCTGTTAATAAAATTATAATCCAAGCACCAGGGAAACTCTTTGTGATAAGAACTAAAAGACATTAAATACCTGGAATTACAAGGTAGGCAACAACTGGCCAAATTAGAAGGACTTCAAGGATAATGGTTCTGCAGAAAGCAGATAGCATATGAGCTGAGGTTGCTTTTACCTAAATGAGCTTAACACACACCTCCAGTCCTTGGGCTCAATTATTGTAAGAGAGAGATCAAAGCTATGTGTTAGCCATTATGAAACAGGAGTTATGAAAAGCTGTCTCATGAGGGTGCTGGCTGTGTGGCTATCTCACTTAACTGCACACCTTGCTTTCATCTTGATCCCTGCTACCTCCTTGTCATCTGCCTACTAACCCCTCTACAGGCTGTCACTCCTTTTTCTCTCACTGCAGCTCCTGATTACGGATTGCCTTTTTGCCCTCTGTGCTTTAATGCTGTACCTACAGCTTTTTGACAGGTTCTTTACTCTGCTGTATTTGTGTGTTATAAAGCACCTTGCCATAATCTCTGGATACCGAGGGCAATATCCGCCAAAGAATGGGCTTGGGTTGTGTCAACCCAGTTTAATTTCCACTTCCCTAAAATAAAATCTGCCATCTTCAAAGTGTCACTTGGCAGCTCAAGTTCTGTAATCTGGGTATTTACAAAGTAAGCTCCCAGTACAGACTATGCTGTTCAAATCTGACAATGAGTTTCTTCTTAAACCTCACCAGAGTTTATGAATCCAAACTCTTCAAGTTTCACCACTTTTTCTGGAGAAAGGACACCTGCCAAGTCAATCCCACATAAAGACAGATCTGTGGTATGGCAGGCACCCCACCGTGCTGTGGTCTAGCAAGCCAGTGGATTGATCTTCAGGACAAGAGGCAATGGGCAGAAACTGAAGCACCGGCAGTTCCACTCGAATATGAGGAAGAACTTCTTTGCTGTGCAGGTGACCACACACTGGAACAGATTGCCCAGAGAGGGTGTGGAGTCTCCCTCACTGGAGATACTCCAGAACTGTCTGGATGCAATCCTCTGCCATGTGCTCTGGGATGACACTGCGTGAGCAGGGAGGTTGGACCAGACAACCCATTGTGGTCACTTCCAACTTGACCCATTCTGTGGTTCTGTGATCACTTACTGTGGATATCAAAGATCTGAGGTTTCAATGCTCCTCTCCCCCTGTGAGGATGCGAATCTTGTCGCTATGGAAGCACATTAAATGCCAATCTCAGATTATTTCAGGGAAGTTGTGGTTGATTTCCCTCAGCTATATCGCCCTTCCAGCTCAAGAAACCAGCCCCCTACATTCCACAGAGCTACTTAAACTACAGGGTGAGGGAACCATGGCTGCTCAGCCCAGATATCCTGACAGCCTGACCTGCAGTCCTTTTCTCCCCTTCCAACCCCTGGACAAGCTCAGGGACTGGAGCATCTCTGTTATAAGGAGACTGTGGGAGCTGGGCCTGTTTAGTCTGGAGAAGACTGAGAAGGACCTCATGAATGCATACAAACATTTCAAAGGCAGGTGCCAAGAAGATGGTGCCAGACTCTTTTCAGTGGCACCCAGTGACGGGATGAGGAGCAATGGCCGTAAACTAAACCACAAGAAGTTTCACCTCAACATGAGGAAGAACTTCGTTACATTGAGGGTGTCAGAGCACTGGAACAGGCTGTCCAGGGTGGTCGTTGATTCTCCCTCTCTGGAGACATTCCAAACCCACCTGGATGCATTCCTGTGTCACCTGCTCTAGGTGACCCTGCCTTGGCAGGAGGGTTGGACTGGGTGATCTCTAGAGGTCCCTTCCAGCCCTAACGATTCTGTGATCCTGTACTTCCAGGGCCGCAAAATAAACACCTCCGTGAGGGGCTTTAAACTTCAGAGAGCTCTGAAAGGACCGTGCAAGCTCCGTGGGACGGGAAGAGAGATGCACAGCAAATCTGAGGGGACAGGGGGAGCGAAAGCCGCACATCCGCATCCCTCCATCCCTAACCCCCCTCGCCCCCCCAGCCCAGGTCGGCAAAAGGGAGCCGAGCAACAACCCCACAACCCCTCCGCTCTGCCCCTCAGGGC